CTGCACCTTGTTGTCTCGGATTCTCCAGCATCTGCAGTTCCTACTATCTCTGATGCAACTTCCTTGTGTCCTCTTCACAACAGACTTTCCTTTTTATCTTGGTGTCATCTGCAAATTTAACTTTCATGCCTTCACTCCCCTCATTCATGTCATAAAGTCATTCAGCACGGAAACAGACCCTTCAGTCCAGCTAGTCCATGTCGACCAAGTTTCCCAAACTAAACTCGTCCCACTTACCTGCATTTGGCCCATATCCCTCCAAACCTTTCCTTTTTATGTACTTATCCAAATGTCTTTTAAATGTTGTAACTGTATCTGCATCAACCACTTCCTCTAGCAGTTCATTCCATACACGAACAAATATCTGCATAAAAAAGTTTACCGCATGTCCTTTTTAAATCTTTCTCCTCTCACCATAAAAATACACCCCCTAGTTTTGAACCCACCCTCCCAAGGGAAATGACCCTTGCCATTCACCATATCCATTCCCATCATGATTTCATAAACCTCTATAAGGCCACCCCTCAACCTCCTACGCTGTAGTGAAATATGTCCCACCCTATATTTATAACTCAGACCCTCCATTCCCAGCAATGTCTTGTAAATCTTTTCTGAACCCTCTCCAATTTAATAGAAAGGGCCATGGGTAGTATTGTAGAACAGAGAGACCGAGGGGTTCAGGTACATAGTTCTTTGAAATCTGCACCACAGGTAGACCGGAAGGTTAAGAAGGTGTTCAGCACACTTGCCTTCATTCCTCAGACCTTTGAGTATAGGAGTTGGAACGTCATGTTGAGGTTGTACAGGATATGGGTGAGGCCTGTTCTGAAGTATTGTGTGCAGTCCTGGTTACCCTGCTATAAGTCCTAATTGATATAAATTGTAAAACGTTGAGATAAGGGAATCAAAGGTTATTGGACATGGATGAGAATGTAAAATTCAAAATGCAAACAGATCAGCCATATTTTATTGAATAGCAAAGCAGGCTTAAGGGGCTGAGTGACCTGTTTCTACTCCAAATTCATATGTTTGGATGTATGAGAGAGTGCAGCATTGCTGGAGGTTGATTATTGGGGGATTCCTGCACTGTCAAGGATTAGCACTGAGGGAACACTGTACTTAAAGGCTCAACACTGAGGGAGCAGTACACAGTCGGAGAATCAGTACTGAGGGAGCACTGACCATATATTTATGGGGGGTGGGAAATCAGTACAGAGGGAGAGCTGTGCTGTTGGAAGGGATGGTACAGGGTATCGGACAGTTTTCTGCATGGACTATACTGTTATAGTGTTTTAATATTGGGATAAGTACAGGCAGTATGACAATGTGGTGAAGACTAGTGGGAAGCCAGAGGATTGGGAAGCTTTTAAAAACCAGCAGAAGCGGGAGAAGATGAAATATGAAGATAAGCTAGTTACTTATTTAAATGTAGATTGCAAGAGTTTTTTCAGAGATATAAAAGGTAAGAGAGGTAAGAGTGGACATTGGGCTGCAAAATGATGCTGGAAAAGTAGTAATGGGGAGCAAAGAAATGGTGGAGGAACTGAATAGATACTTTGCATCAATTTTCACAGTGGAAGACACCAGCAGCATATCAGAATTTCAAGACAGTCGGGGGCAGAGGTGAGTGTAGTGGCCATCACTAAAGAGAAGGTGCTAGGAAAGCTGAAAGGTCTGAAGACAGATAAATCACCCAGAACAGATGGACTATATCCCAGGATTTTGAAGGAGATAGCTGAGATGGTAGGCTATTGCAGAAAATACGGAGGCATGGGATTGAGGGTGATTTAGCGGTTTGGATCAGAAATTGGCTAGCTGTAAGAAGACAGAGGGTGGTGGTTGATGGGAAATGTTCATCCTGGAGTTCAGTTACTAGTGGTGTACCTCAGAGATCTGTTTTGGGGCCACTGCTGTTTGTCGTTTTTATAAATGACCTGGATGAGGGCGTAGAAGGATGGGTTAGTAAATTTGCAGATGACACCAAAGTCGGTGGAGTTGTGGATAGTGCAGAAGGATGTTGTAGGTTACAGAGGGACATAGATAAGCTGCAGAGCTGGGCTGAGAGGTGGCAAATGGAGTTTAATGAGGAAAAGTGTGAGGTGATTCACTTTGGAAGGAGTAACAGGAATACAGAGTACTGGGCTAATGGTAAGATTCTTGGTAGTGTGGATGAGCAGAAAGATCTCGGTGTCCATGTGCATCGATCACTGAAAGTTGCCACCCAGGTTGATAGCGTTGTTAAGAAGGCGTACAGTATGTTAGGTTTTATTGGTAGAGGGATTGAGTTTCGGAGCCATGAGGTCATGTTGCAGCTGTACAAAACTCTGGTGCGGCCGCACTTGGAGTATTGCGTACAGTCCTGGTCACCGCATTATAGGAAGGATGTGGAAGCATTGGAAAGGGTACAGAGGAGATTTACCAGGATGTTGCCTGGTATGGAGGGAAGGTCTTATGAGGAAAGGCTGAGGGTTTTGAGGCTGTTTTCGTTACAGAGAAGAAGGTTAAGAGGTGACTCGATAGAGACATACAAGATGATCAGAGGATTAGGTAGGGTGGACAGTGGGAGCCTTTTTCCTCGGATGGTGATGGCTAGCACGAGGGGACATAGCTTTAAATTGAGGGGTGATAGATATAAGACAGATGTCAGAGGTAGGTTCTTTACTCAGAGAGTAGTAAGGGCGTGGAATGCCCTGCCTGCAAAAATAGTAGACTCGCCCACTTTAAGGGCATTTAAATGGTCATTGGATAAACATATGGATGATAATGGAATAGTTTAGGTTAGATGGGCTTCAGATTGGTTTCACAGGTCGGCGCAACATCGAGGGCCGAAGGGCCTGTACTGCGCGGTAATGTTCTATGTTCTATGTTCTATGTTCTATGAGATTGTGGAGGCATTGGTGGTGATCTTTCAGGAATTATTGGAGTCAGAGAGGGTCCTAGAGGACACCCCTGTTAAAGAACGGAGGGAGGCAGAAGACAAGAAACTACAGGCCGGTTAGCCTGACCTTGGTCATTGGTAAGATTTTAGATTCCATTATTAAGGATGACATTGTGGAGTACTTGGAAGTGCATGGTAAAATTCTGCTGAGTCAGCACGGCTTCAATAAGGGGAGGTCATGTCTGACAAATCTGTTAGACCGAAGGTATAGCAGCAGAATTGTTATTCCAATGAGTCTGCTTCACCATGCGAGCATGGCTGATATGTTTCTCATACCTATTCTTCTCCCTTCTTCTCATTACCCTTGATCCCCTTACTAATTGAAGAATTCTTTGAGGAGGTGACATGCAAGTTACATAAAGGAGAGCTAGTGGATGTGATCTACTTGGCAGAAGAAGGCATTTGACAAGGTGCCACACAGAAGGCTGCTAATTAAGATGAAGGCAGAGAGTGGGGATAATGGGGTATTTTATACAATGGTAGCTGGTGACTAGTGAGGTTCTGCAGGGATCAGTGATGGGACCTCAGCTATTCACACTACACATTAATGATCTGGTCAAAGGAACTGAGAGCATTCTCGCTACGTTTGCAGATGACACAAAGATAGGTGGAGGGGCAGGTAGTGTTGAGGAAGTGGGGAGGCTGCAGAAGGAGTTGGACAGGTTAGGACAGTGGGCAAAGAAGTCGCAGATGGAATATATGTGGGAAAGTGAGAGGTTATGAATTTAAGTGGGAAGAGTCCAGGAGTAAACTATTTTCTAAATGGGGAAAGGCTTTGTAAATCTGAAGCACAAAGGGATTTGCGAGTCCTAGTTCGGGATGCTGTTAAGGTCAACATGCAGGTTCAGTTGGCAGTTAGGAAGGCAAATGTAATCATAGAATCTCTACAGTGTAGAAGCAGGCCATTTGGCCCATCGAGTCCATGCCAGCCCTCCAAAGAGCATCCCACCCAGACCAACCCCCTTACCTATCCCTCTCTCCCTGTATTTCCCATTAATAATCCACCTAGCCTGCACATTCCCAGACACTACAGGGCAATTTAGCATGGCCCAGTCACCTAACCTGCGCATCTTTGAACTGTGGGAGGAAACCGGGCACCTGGAGGAAACCCACGCAGACACAGTTTGAATATGCTGACTCCACACAGACAGTCACCAAAAGGTGAAATCGAACTCAGGTCCCTGGTGCTGTGAGGCAGCAGTGCTAACCACTGTGTTGCCGTTGAGAGAGGGCTCGAATACAAGACTAGGAATGTACTGCTAAGGCTGTATAAGACTCTGGTCAGATTGTATAAGGAATATTGTGAGCACTTTTGGGCCCAATATCTGAGGAAGGATGTGCTGGTGTTGGAGGAGGTCCAGATGATGTTTACAAGAACATGATCCCAGGGATGAAGGGCTTGTCATATGAGGAGTGGTTGAGGACTCTGGGCCTGTACTGGATGGAGTTTAGAAGGATGAGGATTAAGAAGGATAAGTTTTTGACTAGAAGGAGATCAAGGTTAATGGGGAGAAGGCTGGAAAATGGGATTGAGGAACATATCAGCCGTGATTGAATGGTGGAGCAGACTCAGTGGGCAAAATGGCCTAATTCTGCTCCTGTATCTCATAGTCTTAAGACATTGGCTACTACATTGAAAAATAATCTATAGAGCTAAGTTTACAACTGTTTTTACATTATTAAAAGGTTTACACCTTACATACAATTTCTGAAAGCATCACCAATATTTCCTGTGACATTTCACACTTCAGATGTGACACTTTGGACATGCCATCTTAGCTAACTATGACCACTGAGTGATTTGTTGAGTTGTGGAAATTACCTGTGTACAAGGGTACGTTTCTTGGAAATGAAGAATCCAAGTGTGTGTTCCTGGATCAGAATCCTGTGATCTGGGTTGATCAATATACTGAAGGAGGAGAGAGGGGAGAGCATGAGTACATGAATGGTGTCAGCACGGGCTTGCAAAATTTTGCATACAATTTAAACATTAATGTGCAGTCTGCCGTATGCACACACATTCAGCTGACAACGACAACTTGCATTTTTAAAGTACCTTTAATGCAGTGGGCCAATTAGATTAGAGTATTCTTGATTCAAGTACTGAATAAAAGAATCCTGCTTCTCCTGTCTTCCATTCTAGTTAGAATGCAGCCTCTGCGTTAGAAAAGCAATGAAATTGCCTGGATGTGTGCAGCTCCAACAACACTCAACAAGCCTGTAACCATCTAGGACAAAACAGTCAACTTGAGTAGCACCCCATCTACCACCTTCAGCATTCACTCCCTTCAGCACCAGTGCACTGTGGCAGGATTGTGTACCCTTTACAAGATGCACTGCTGCAATTCACCAAGGCTCTTTAGACAGCACAATCTAAACCCTCAAAGTGTACCACCTGGAAGGACAAGGACAGCACACACAAGGGAACATGACTATTTGCAAGTTCTCCTCCAATCATGCATCATCCTGTAAGGGAGTGTTAACATTTCAAAAGAAACCTTAACACCTAGCAATAAACTGACCGAACTATGCTACAAAAGGAATATTAAACATAAAATGTATTTTAACATTGTCAAAAATTATTAAACAAAGTAAACATTATGAACTTAACATTATAACTTTGAAAGATTTATTCACTAAATTTAATTCTAACATTAACTTCCCCAAAGAGTTTCCCTATCTTCTGAAGTCATGAAGATTAATTCATTTGTCCTGGGCTTAATCAAAGAAATGCCACAGCCCTTCCCAATTCACTTTAATTCTCCCTAGTATTCCAGCTTTTCTTTTTAGTACAGATTTCATTGGATCTTTCCATTAACTTCTGACTAAGTGATCCTTAAGTTTTTCTTTATAAACCTCAGGTCACCTAATTCCTGCCCTGGCTTTGGACATATGTAGACTGTTTTTTGCCAGTCTATTCCTGTACTTTCTGTAAAGTTTTTTTCAAGTTAACAATTCAAGCTGATTGCTTTTTACTACAAAGCTCTGTGAGGACTACTGTCAATTTTTTTTCGATAAATTCCAACCTGGAGTAAATCTTCCAGTAGCTTTTCCTTCTCGAAATCCAAAGTGGACTACAGCCACATTTGCATACCACACGGGGAACCATTTAATTAATATGTTTCCTCCTTGAGATATTCGCCTAACTGACAAGCATTTATTTTCTTTCACTGTCCCCAATCTGTGACCCTACACAAGACCAAATTTGCAACTGTCTTGGTTTATTCTTGAACTAAACTATTGTTTCTGCCTGTAAACACACACATAAAACAACCGAACCTTCTAACTAAGGCTCCACTCTAAATCACTATTTCTCTCACAACATGGCATGCTTTTGAATTTCCTGAAACAAAGTTATTTTACCTTCAACATAACGCTTTGATTCTGTAATCCATATGAATAATGTATATTTTCAATGAATGTATTCCTTCTCTCCAGACTCCCAGACTTCATAACAAGGTGAGAGTTGCATCATTCATTGTTCAAGCTATTTTTCACATCAGCTCTGGCCTTGCACAACCAACATGGTCTACCTCTTAGGGATAATAAACCCAGGCTTGTTTGAATTGCACCTACTCAGGGTCGCTCAGTTTGTCGATCAAATTCCCGCCATTTAATTTTACATTTAACACTTTGAGCTTTAACCTAAAATTTATATTCCTGAAGCTAAAAGTTACATTCTAAAATATATAAAACATGAATTAGATATTTTCAACATTCCTGACTTTTTGTTCTGTTCATTCATGGGATATGGGCGATGCTGGCAAGGCCAACATTTAATGCCTGTGTGGGGGTTGGCATTTCCCCAATACTGTTAGGTAGTTCCAGGATTTTAGATCAGTGACAGTGAAGGAATGGCAATAGATTTCCAGATCAGGAAGGTATGTGACTTGGAGGGGAATTTGTCAGTGGTAGTCTTCCCAAGTATCTGCTGAACTTATCCTTCCAGCTGGTAGATGTCATATGTTTGGAAGGTGAGGTCACTGAAACAAAGTAATTTTACCTTCAACATAATGGTTTGATTTTGTAACCCATATGAATAATGTATATGTCACTGCAGTAGTAATCCAAAGGCCCAGGCAAATGCATTGGAGACATGAGTTCAGAGCTCACCATGACACCTGGCAGAATTTAAACTTCAGACTTGATGGGCCAAATGGCTCCTACATTTTATAATTTTTAGTGAGTTATTACAATGCATTGTGTAGATAGCATAGATTCATGGCACTGTGTGTCAGTGATAATGGACATGAATGTTGAGGGTAGTTGATGATGTGCCAGACAAGGGACTGCTTTGTCCTGGATGGTGTCAAACTTCTTAAGTATTGTTGGAGCTGTTAATCCAGTTCAGTTTCAGGTCAATGATAGCCACCAGGATTTTGTTAGTGGGGTAAGTCAGTGACGGTAATACCACAGAATGTCAAGTGGCGTTAATTGGATTCTCACTTATTGAAGATTATCGTTGGCTGGCACATGAATGTTACTTGTTATGTGCTAGTACACACCTGGATATTGCCCAGGTCTTGCTGCATTTGGACGTGTTTCAGCATCTACGGAGTCATGAATGGTATTGAACATTGTGCAATCATTAGCAACCCTCCCCAATTCTGACCTTATCATGGAGGGAAGATTAGTGATGAAACCTCTGAAGATGGTTGAAACTTAAACTATATGACATTTCCTTCACTGTCAGTGGGTGAAAGTCCTAGCACTCTCTTCCTAACAGTACCATGGGTGTTCCTACGCCACGTGGAATGCAACAATTCAGGGAGATTCAAGGTGCAGCTCACCACCACCTTCTCAAGGTCAAATAGAGATGGGCAATAAATACCAACAATGTCCACACACTGAGAATGATGAAAAAGAAATGCATAGAGTGAAACTGTTGCAAGATACTCTGTTTGCACGTCTTCATGTCTCTTTTGGTGTCTTATGTGTTTGTGTTCTGTCTTTGTTTGATATTCAGGAATGTAACCCAAACATTTACACGGGTTTCTGTGGTAATATCAGTTTCAAATAAAGCAGTTTTGTTTAGCACATGATTTTCAGGAATATGATTACTGTGTTAATCAGGAACTATCTGTACCTGATGTCATCTGAGCTGGTCCTGTATCGAATGGCTATCAATAGGAGTTTTAGCCGAATGTAGCACAGCCTAGAGAGAGGCAAGTGCAGAGACAGAAATGATAAAGCATTAATGGTGAATTACTGCAGTCATTAGAATATCCTTCAAAAAATCATTTTCTGAATAGATTTCTAATTCAGATTCTTATTTCAGCATACCACAATCCACAACCCTTTCTCAGAAATGAAGGGTCACCTGACCTGAAACGTTAACTCTGATGTCTCTTCACAGATGCTGCCAGGCCTGCTGAGCTTTTCCAGCAATTTCTGTTTTTGTTTCTGAACTACAGCATCTGCAATTCTTTTGGTTTTTCTTTAAACAACATATCCTACTTCCTCACTGAGCTACCCTATCTGCCCTTCAATTATTTTTCCATATCCATCTATAACATAAATTCTTTGGAAAATTGTGGTGAATGTAAATTGGATAAAAGAATGTTTGAAAACGCATGCACTTGCTTCCCAGTCCCATGACCTCTTGCACATTGCCCCACTTTCCTTTTCCCCCCTGTCCTTCTCTGTGGATCTGTTACAATCAGGGATGAATAGATTTTTGTACTGTAAAGAAATGATTGGAAGAGCTGGCTTAAGGGTTTGAATTAATCCTGTTACTATGTCACAAGTTCAAAGCAGTGAACAGCCACCTTCTGTTCCAGAGGGGCTGAATAGTCTCCTTCTGTCTCTGTAATAATCTAGAGTGATGAATGGACTCCATCTGCCCCCCTACAGCTCGTCAGACTGAAAAGTTTCTTCCAGTTCCAATGTAACAGCTCAAGGGGCTGAATGGCCACCTCTTGTTTCTGTAAACTCTTCAACAGTGGCATTGCCACAATTCTCCAAATCCCATTTTATCACTACTGTCACCATCCCTCTCCTTGAGACATTCTGAACCTAAACCTGCAAACTTGGTGTCATAGTTTGCTATGGGCTCCCAGCCATGTTTTTCCACTAAGACTACATATTTCCACCTCCATGACATAACCAACAACACCCTCTCTCACTTCGTCTTCTACATAACTCCACATCTATGCCTCTGTTACCTGCAGATTCGACTATGCTCTCCAGCAGATTGTCCACTCTGTAAACTCAGGCTCATTCAAATCTCTGCTACCCATATCCTAATTTGTACGAAACCCAGTCACCCATCAGCTTGTATTCACTGACATTCACAAACTTTGGCTCCTGGATAAGTAATGCTTCAATTTTAACATGTTCATATTTGCTTTCAAACTCCTCCACAGCGTCTCTCCTCCCCATCTCTGTAACCTCCTTCAGCCCCACAATACGCCATGCAATTCAGACCTTTTGAGCTTGTCTGATTTTAAATCTTGAGGTAGGTTTGTGGAATTAGAGGTTTGTTGTCCTGCTCAATACCTGCTGGTGGCAGTGCAGGATCAAGAATCTTTAACTAAGCCAATACCACCACTATGAGGCTGTACGTTGTATTGCACTTAGCCTGGAAAAGGAACATAGGCAGGAAACTAAGGTTATGACAAAATCACCTGAATTTTGAACCTGGGTTTGTACAACAAACAGGAAGCTCAGAAGTACAGAGGGTCAGAAGGACACTGGGTGGACTCAGTGGTTCAGTGGTTAGTAGTGCTGCCTCATAGTATCAGGGACCTGTTTCGATTCCAGCCTTGGGTGACTGCGTGGAGGTTTTGTGTTCTCCCTGTGTCTATGGATTTCTGCCGGGTGCTCCAGTTTCCTCCGCAGTTCAAAGATGTGCAGGTTAGGTGGATTGGGCATGCTAAATTGTCTGTAGTGTTGACGGATGTGTAGGTTAAGTGGATGAGCTATGGGGATAGGGTGGTGGGATGCTCTTCGGGGGGTTGGTCTGGACTTGATGGGCCAAATGGCCTGTTTCTGCACTGTAGGGATTCTATGATGTTGAATTCTATGGTTTTCAAATCCCTGAAGGTTTCAGGACAGGTTAATGGGGTAGTTAAGAAAGCATACAAGACACTTGCCCTTTTCAGTTGTGGTATAAATTGTTAGAGCAGGGAGGTTATGCTGGAGCTGTACAGAACTTTGGTTAGGCCACAGCTGGAGTACTGTGTGCAGTTCTGGTCACCACACTATAGGAAGGATGCGATAACACTAAAGGGAGTGAAAAGGAGATTCAGCTGGAATGGAGCATTTCTGCTGTAAAGAGGCTGGATAAGCTTGTGTTGTTTTCTTTGGAGCAGAGAAGGTTGAGTGGGGGCCTGAAAGGGGTGTACAAGATTATGAGTGGCCTAGACGGGGTGAGTAGAAAACAGCTAAACCCTTAGTTGAAGGATCAATAACAAGGGGCCATCATTTTAAAGTGAAAGGCAGAAAGCTTTGAGGGGATTTGGGAAAACATTTTTCACGCAGAGGTGAACACACTGGATAGTTGATGTGGAAGACCTCTCAATCTTTTAGAAGTACTTGGATGAGTGCTTGAAGTGTCATAACATTCAAGGCTATGGGCCTAGTGCTGGAAATTTGGACTCGTGTAGATCGCGGAGTATTTTTGGCTGAATAGACTCGATGGGCCAAAAAGCCTCTTCTGCATTGTATGACTGTATGAAAAAGGGTGATCACAATGATTTAGGGGTGCCTTATCCCTGGCTTGTGATGATCCTGCAACCAGAAGGCAGTATCCTGAGTTTCAACTGTGGACTTGACCTGTTTCCTATGTTTCTAATTTGTTTGGCTGATCTCAGCATGGTGAAACTGCTAATTTCCCGAGGTAGTTTCTGGAGAGCAACGAGGAGGTCATTGAAGCACATCAGCACCTGGCTCCCATTCTAGATCACTGACCTCTATTCACAGCCCGTTGGAGACAGGAGAGTGAGAGTCAGTTCGAGAAGAAACTTGGTGTTGTTATGACTGCAAAATTTCGAAAGCATTTTGCGACCAGTGAAATCGTTTTAAAGTGTGGACTAATCACTGTTGTAATGTTGGAAATACAAGAAATAATTTGCACTCAGCAAGTTCCCATGAATGGCATAATGATCAGATAATCTTATTTTTGTTGATGTTTATTGAGGGATAATTTTTGACCATTTCATCAGAGAAGACTCCTCTGATCCCCTTCATTAAGGTCACAGAATCTTTTCCATCCACCTGAGAGGGCATCATACACATTTCCATGTTCCTTTTCCTGAAGAAAACTGCCAGTATTAACCTATGACATTATGATTGCCCCTTTGTGCCAGTGGAGGTATTGCATTGACAGGACAGTAATCTTGCAGTGTGATATGTTCAGATTTGCTGTTTCCATCCAAAATGTGGATACTGGAATATACAATGCAAACATAAACTTCGGAGGAGAACACATGAGCTTAGCCATGGATTTAATCAAGTTTCTGTGTGGCCTTGAAGGCAGAGCAATGCCTTTAGACATTCATGAGGCTTTAGATGATACTGTTCCAATGGGAGCAGGTGATTGAAAGGTAACATTATAGGCATAATGCAGAGCATTAGGAGGAAGTGTCAGCAAGTTCTTTGGGCCATGAATTTGGGGGACATTCCCTCTCCCTCCCATTCCCAAATTATTGCTACAACAGTGTTGTGAAGTCACTCACTCGCACACAGAGTTAAAGGACATGCCTACGAAACTGTCAGACAGAAACTCGGTGTAAATCTCCTGGCTGAGTCCCTCTTTGTAGATATCAAGCCACGTTCCAGTTTTATGCTGCAAATGGAAAAAGCACTTATCAGTAACAGAAAAACTCAAGAAAAACAAAGCAAGTTCCAGGACAGAAAATATAACATTTATGTTCTCACCTTTAGAGTGAATTCTCAAACTGATAGTCCTACTGCAAATTCTATCTGTGGGAAAGGATTATTCCCTATAAAACCTGCTTCAGTAGCTCCTGGTTTCAGACTCACTCACTGGTTGCTGTTTATGGGCCTTTCAAGATAACCTTCCAGAAGAATAGCAGTGAGTGACCAGTAGAGTTCTGCAGGGATCAGTGTTGGGACCACAACTATTCACGTTGTACATTAATGATCTGGATGAAGGAACTAAGGGTAATGAAATCTGAAGCATTTGCAAAAATCTTCAAGTGGATGATCCATCTCAACCTGTGCCAGTGATCCCCAGCATCACAGATACCAGTCTTCAGCCAATTTGATTCACTCCATGTGATATCAAGAAATGGTTGGAGACACTGGATACTGCAAAGGCTATGGGTCCTGACAACATTCTGGCAATAGTTACTGAAGCCTTGTGCTCCAGAACTTCCACTCCCCTAGCCAAGCTCTTCCAGTAAGTACAGTTACAACACTGGCATTTACCCATGTGAATCATTGCCCGGAATATCATTTGTTTTGAGAGGGCTAGTATACATTTGCTGAGATGTCCTGCTGAGGATTTATAAGGCTCTGGTCAGATTGCATTTGGAATATTATGGGCAGTTTTGAGCCCCATATCTAAGAAGGATCTGCTGGCTTTTGCAGGGGTCCAGAGGAAGTTTACAAGAATGATCTCAGGGATGAAGGGCTTGTCATATGAGGAGCAGTTGAGGACTCTGGATGGAGTTTAGGAGGATGAGGAGGCATCTGATTGAAACTGACAGAATACTGAGAAGCCTGGATAGAGTGGAGAAGATATTTCCACGAGAAGGAGAGACGAGGATCTGAGGGCCTCAAAGTGAAGGGATGATGCTTTAGAATGAGATGAGGAGGAATTTCTTCAGTCAGATGATGGTGCACCTGTGGAATGTATTGCCACTGAAGGCTGTGGAGGCCAAGCCACTGAGTGTATTTAAGACAGAGATAGATAGGTTGTTGATTGGTCATGGGATCAAGGGTTATGGAAAGGCAGGAGAATGGGGTTGAGAAACATATCAGCCATGATCACATTGCAGAACAAACTCGATGGGCTGAATGGTCTAATTCTGCTTATGGTCTTACAGTGTAAAACAGAATCAACACTTTAATATCAATGCTGCTCTGAGCTAAGTGCAAGGTCTCAAGGCACTCTTCAGCTATTAAGAGTCCTGGTCTAAATTGCCCTGTGATCTGATGGGCTGTTTTTCAGTTGGCTGGGGAACTTGAAAAGAAGGTTTACAGGTACCTTTTCCCACTTTGCCATGGGATTTTCTGTGTTGTTTTTCTCTCTGACAGGCGTTGGGATGGCTGCAGCGAGGGTTAAGAAATGTCTTGTCTGAATGCTCTGTTTCTTAATTGAATAGGTATGTAGTTGCATTGGAGGCAGTTCAGAGGAGGTTCACTAGATTTATTCTAAAGATGAAGGTTTGTCTTATGAAGAGAGATTGAGCAGTTTAGGCCTATACACTGCAATTTAGAAGAATGAGAGGAGATCTAATTGAGGTATGTAAGAAACTAAAGAGGATCGACAAAGTAGATATAGAAAGAATGTTTCCTCATGTGGGGAAATCTAGAATGAGAAGTCATTATTTTAGGATAAGGGTAGCCGATTTAAAACAGACATGAGAAGAAATTATTTCACCCCAACGGGTCATGAATCTGTGGATTTCACTACCCCAGAATGTATTGGATGCCAGGATGTTGAGTCATTTTTTTATTCTCAGTACTCAGTATGTCTCCAACCAATAGAGCTTTTTTCCCCAACTCCCTTTCACTGCGATGGGTATGATTCCTGATTGTGCATGATGTACAGCCTTGACCTGATAACCAAATGCTGTCATTTTGAGCTGGTTTTTGTTGCACCAGCAAACACCTTCACTGCTTTTTCTCTGCCTGCAAGCCCTCCCAGGGTCATCCTGTACAGGCTGAGATGATAGTGGTGCATCCTGACAACTGTCTCTGGAATTTTGTTTATTCAATTCAACCCCTTCATCCACAAATGTCACTAGCTGTTCAGGAAAAGATTAGATTTGCACCCACCGGTCATTCTTCCTCACCTCTACTTGCGGGTCCTTGACAAAGAGATTGGCCAAAAGCGTGGAGAAGCCTGGGACAATGCAGTTCTGAGCAATAAATCCCATTTTCAACTCCGACAAGCAAATCACACTATCTCTCCTCTTCATGTCCCAGCTGGGGATATTCTGCAGGTAGGCCTGTCATATCACAAACCTCAATTACACAACCACAAAAACATAATTAGATAGCACAGCTACAAGGTAGGCTAGATGGGTTGAAGGATCTTGTCAGTAGGTGGAAATGAGATTAAAGGTCAAGATGGGTAGGTTGGATTTTTTTCCATTTATTCTTCTATTTTTCATACCTCAAAAGACTATGAACGCAGAATCCTTAAATATTTTAAGGCAGAGGTAGATAGATTTTTGATGACCAAGGTGATGAAAGATTATCAGGGATATGCAAGAACGTAAACTTGAATTTAAAATCAGATCTGCCATGATCTTATTGAATGGCAGAACAGGCTCAAAGGGGTGAGTGGCCTACTTTTGTTCCTTGTTTGTATGTAGATTTTTCCCTATGTTCATGGAATGTGGCCATTGCTGGCTGTGCTAACATTTATTGTATGGCCAAAATTGCCTTGGAATAGGTGTTGGTGAGCTGCTTCTTGAACTGCTGTAATCCATGCAGTGCAGGTATACCCTTAATGCTGTTAGAGAGGGAGTTCCAGGACTTTGACCCAGTGACACTCAAAGAATGGCAGTCAGGATGGTGAGTAGCTCAGAGAGGAGCTAACAGGTGGTGGTGTTTCAATGTATCTGCTGTTGTTGACCTTCTCAATGGTAGGAGATCCAGATTTGGAAGGTGCTGTCAAAGGAACCTTGGTGACTTACTGCAGTGCATCTTGTCGATGGAAAACACTGTTGCCACGGGGTTACAATGGTGGAGAAGTGAAGCTTTATGGATATGATGCCAGACAATGGACTGCTTTATTCTCGATACCATTAATCTTCTTGAGTGTTGTTGGAGCTGGGCTTATCCAGGCAATTGGAGAGTATTCCATCACACTCCTGACTTGTGTCTTGTAAATGGTGGACATGCTCTGGGGAGTCAGGAAGTGAGTGACTCACTGCAAGATTCCTAGTCTCTGACCTGTATTGTAGCCACTGGGTTTATGTGGCATGTCCATTTCAGTTTCAGGTCAATGGTATCCCCAGGGACTTGTTTAGTTGGTTGACGAAAATGGTGGAAGGTGGGTTACTGAGATTGAGAAATTTAACATTTGCTGTTATACAAAGCTTTTTATGAATGTAGGACATCCCAAAACTATTGAGATACTTTTGATGTGTTGCCACTTTGAATAGGAATAGCCAAATCACAAAAGGATAAAGGACTAGAACGGTCAGGATTGAGAGCCATGGAGAAATACACGTTTGAAGTAGTGCGGTTGGATTATTTCTATACGCACAAGAGGGCAGACAAGGCCTTAGTGTAGTTATGTGAAAGCCAGGAATGTAAACCTCGTTTGTGAACACAGGTGCTTGGAGAATGACCTTATACTTGTCAACAAGGTGCAGGGCTGGATGAACACAGCAGGCCAAGCAGCATCACAGGAGCAGAGAGGCTGACGTTTCGGGCCTAGACCCTTCATCAGAAAA